GGCATACGCAAAACGTGACCAAGCCATCGGAGGCGGTGTATAGCGATTACTAAAAGCTTTCCTACGGTGACCCTGATGAGATGGAACAGCTTACAGGAATTTCCCTCGGCGGTAGCACGTTCCATCTCTGACGCGTATTAAGTCCACCAGATCTCGCGGTCTCTGCGTAAGCTTGTGTTGAGGTCACAACTCGTTGCTCGTCGTATCCAGGGCCATTCAAGTTAAACATTTTCCCAAAATTCACGTTGCTCAAATTCTCATCAGAACATTGTGCATAACTGACCAGTATTCTGTATTACCAAACAAATGACCGAGTGTTACCGGTCCCCAAATTATCCCCCCGAAGGACGTGTGTTCCAATCCCAACACCACCGTATGACTTTTCCCAGAAAACAGATATTTTATATATCCAATAGGAGTAAAAATTGATGGTGAAAACACTTTTGTCTAGGAAAACCGATCAAAAGTAATGCAGCTTAATACAAGCTCCGTGGAGAAGAGAATTCAAACACCAGTTGGTTGATACTCATTTAACCAATAACATTTCGCCCATTGAATCATTTTAATTAAGGACCAGCTACTTCTGTGGTCTTCCTTCTGGGTTTCTTTGATTGTACACTTTGGCGGACGACTATTAGTGCGATTCTGTGATTCATTTACAATCGCTGGTTTATTGCGAATACCACATAAAGTTATTCACATAGCTCCAAGATGGGACGCTAATGTGCACACAAATTGCATTCTCTTTGTTCATCAGACTAAGTGTTCAGGTGAACTAGCGCGATAATCGGTCGAATAAACCGAAAGCAATATTTTTTACAACCAAGTAGATGAATTTTCGTCAACCGCTGTTTACTGGCCTCGATCAACTGCTTTGCTCCAAAACTGCAGCCATTTTCGGTCCTAGACACTGGACACCAGAACAGTATCCGTCTAGACACTCTGGATTCATTTTAACCATTATTTTTTGTGGTCCATTAAACTTTCGAAACATCGGTCCCGACAGGGATAGACGGCTGATGCAGGGTGAAACACTGGTCTATTGCTTTTCGTCAGCATCAAGCAATCCATGCATGAGACATGTAAGATAATATACATCCCATGGTCTCGGAAACATCAAAGGCAATATGTAGGATGTATTGAATCGTTAAAATTAGATAATATCAAAAAGTAAATAAAAAGCAGGATTAATAATAATATTCATTTCTAATTCGTGTTTCCCTCAAATGATTCAATCCACTTGAGCAGTGCCTCGGGATTACGATTGATCAATTGCTGTAATTGTTTCAGTGTGGTATGCATATCACAAATTGTACATTTCTGTTCCAGCCAAATATCGCCTAATTTGAACAGTAAAGCACAATACAATAGCATAAATGTATCTAGCACATTTCTACGCGCATGTATGAGACGATTCAATCGGTCCTCCCAAAGGGTTTCCAGTAGGATACTAGTTATATTGATTCCCACACAAGCAAAGGGAAAATTTTGCACTGGATCAATCGATAATCGAAACAATCGTTTGATCCGATCAAATTGCACAAGTTCGGACACGAGAAAAACCAAGCACAATAAAGCTAGTAGACCAGCTCCGCGAAAATCTGTCGCCGGATCCGTACCTTGAAATCCGATCAGTTTCCAATGATCACCCTGACTCAATTGTGCGGACGAACCAGTCAGACGCTTGAACACTGTGTACAGCATTGATCCGTGCAAGCGATCACTCAGAGGTTGGCACGCGGTGGATGAGAGAGTATGGATAAATTCGCGCTGTTCCAAATACCTTCGTTCCAACTGAGGCGGGCCGAACAGTATCCGCATTAGCCAATTATTTTTCCAGGTGGCTGACTTTTTCCGTTTTCTGGGTTCTGTGTGCATCTTTTGTTCCAATGAACTCAAGTGACTGATACACTGTTCAAAAGTGATGCAGTCACAATAGGTTGGATTGAAATTCTTTTTTTTTGTGGTGATATTACGACCACCATATGGAATGACAGCTGTCAACGGCACAGGTAGTACGGTCAGAATTTTTGCTGCATTCTGAACGGGGGTCGATGGACTGGAATGGGCTGTTTTTATTGCGATATTTGTGATGGTGCCATTCGCAGAGCTGATTGGAACGTCACCACACACATCAACTGAACGGGAATACTCATCTACTTTCGGACTGTCTGGTACAGGTTTTGTTCCCGCTTTAGCCCTGAACTCATGACCAGCAACTAACTGAAATACGGGAACTGAATTCCATTCATCACAGGTATCCTAAAATAAAGTAAAATAAGTTGATTCATTATTGTCATTGGTGAACGGTGAAACAGATAGGAGACAGGCATTGAGGATGTGCTCAACGAAGAGCACACATGGAATCATATACACAGATATACCTAAATTGCAATCAAAAAAATATTCGTAACACCATCACAGAGGAATACACATGAAAAACAAAGAGTTTATTTAGCTTAAAGGGTTTACTCACAACTCAATAGCCATTTTGTCTTTGACAGTAAGGATAGGGGGCAAATATGAAAGCGGGACAATTTCTACGAACCTTAATTCTCACGGGAACGTGTCGAAAACTCGACCAAGTTGAACGATGAAAATAACCGGCCAATGAGTCGAAATAAAGAGGATGTGTATAGTAAGCAAAGATTTCCTGAGAAGAAACGTCCACAAGGATAAATATGGAGATCACATAGTTTGGCAACAAAAGATTCGATAGGAAAAATTGAAACACGAGTGATATTGGCAAAGCCACGGCGAAGAACAATCCTTTGTAATTAAACCGGGACAGATGACATAGAGGCACTAGATGATAGTGGGTAAGAGACACTGATAAGCAAGGGAAGAGGTAATAGACTATTTGTTAGTAAAATGCATAGACCTTCGGATATGGAAGAACAATGGCCTGAGTTTGACAAGCGTATTCCAGATATGGGGAGAATATCTGTAATTACTGCCACGGTAACACCCAAGTATTTGATGGTGTCCACTTACTGAACAGGAGAACCGTCAATGCATGCGAGATTGTTGGGGTAGGAGGAACTCGAAAGAGAAAAGATACATTTAAAACATTTACATGAGCTAAGATCATAGCCCGATTATGGAGAAAAGTCCTGAATTGCAGTGGAATCATCGGATAACGAAATAAAATCAAAGTGATTAAAGATAACTTGACACAACACGGTATATGCGTGCTTAATAAGTTTGGTGGGTGATGGAACAGGTAAATCACTAAGTAGTGAATAAGTAGAGTGAAAGGAAAGCACCTGGAAGAACTCCTGAGCAACCACCAATGGATAATATAAACTACTGTCGTCTGGTGTGTTGAACTCCGTCAATAAAATAGTCTTTTAATTCCCAACGAATCGGTATAGGGCAAACAAACAACATTGATTTGTAGAGGAAAGAAGATTAAAGGACCGAGTCGGAAGCAGAATAATGATCAATAATAACACAACAGATGCACTTCATTGAGAGGTCCAGAGGCTTAGTAATACAGTGAACGAATGATGATACAGCGCCCAATGTAGGGTAATTTGTGTTGTAAGTAAACTGAAAAGGATCCTGGAGAACAGTTAGCAAAGAGCGCCGACGGTTAGGGATAGAACGTTCAGTTTTTTACAACCATTAACCATGCACTTTCGTGCGCCGGTTTTGGTTGCTGTCTTTCGGTTGCTCATTTGGATAAAAGAGCCAAATGAAGATTGGAATGTCTAAGCAAATTCAAGCGGAAGATGGAGAATACATATAGAGTGGTGTTAGGAAAATAACGAGTGA